GACAACTCTACAACTATTGATACTATTTTCTGCGCGAACACTATACCAAGAAAAAGAAACAAACCAGCGACGCTATCACAACTTGCTTGCTACACTATACAGTACTACAACACACGGCAAGCTATGGGCGAACGACCACGAATCGTCACTTTTTCCGATGCACGGATTCTATAAATTCATAAACCAACCAATGCCAACGGATGCCGAGTCCTGCCCTGCATCCATTTTGTGACGCAACGATATTCTTGCGGTGGCACAGGGTAGGAAGAAAGAGATAGCACAGTAGGAAAACGACTAGACACCCCATGCTTTTACTACTACTCTGTTATTGTACCGTACTTTCTGTTTCGAATTTCGTATTTCTTGTGGAACTACCGAAGGTCGGTTTTTCGGAGGCAATCCAAAACCCAACCAAGCGATTTTTTTAGTTCCCGATACCGAGGAATCTTACGTCACTACCACGTACGACGTAGTACACAAAACGCGTCTCCGTAGTCCAATCGATTCCTTCCTTCCTTCTGTGCGTGGTTTTCTTTGTCTCCTGGTGCACTCGTACCGATCGTTGCACCTCCCGATACCTCCGACTCGTACGGTGCCATAATGGTCGTCGACTAGTACGTACATAGCGTACGTACCATATGATAGGTAGAAACCAATGCACGAGGGAACCGATTTTCAAAACGTCACGTGGCGCACAGACCGCGAACGAACGCCCAGAATCCAAAATCCCATCGCAACCGAGGCAGGAAAAGGGGGGGGCTTCGGTTGGGTTGCGTTGCGCTGCGTTGGGGGTGTGTTGTATCCGTCGAAAAGGAAGGGGAAAAAGAGAGAAGCCTTTTTTTCCTCTCCGGCTATCACCCGTCGTCCGGACAGGAGGCAGGCGGCAGGAGGGGAAAAAAAGAGGTTTTTGATGTGTACCGTTCGTACCGTTGGATATTACAGTACCAGATACTGTACTGTACTGTAGTCAGTCACTCCCCCGCCAAACGCCAAAGGTCACAAATCCCAGAAAACGGAAAAGAAAAAAGAAGGCACCGCGACGCTTCTGCCAACACAACACAAATCACAACACATTACAACACACGACACAACACCATGGTCCGATTCTTCTCCACCGCCTTTTTTGCCGCCGCCGCCCTTTCGGCGAGCGCGAGCGCCCTCGAGCTCGACCCCGACAACTGGCAGGAAATGACCCGGGGCAAGACGGTCTTTCTCAAGTTCTACGCCCCGTGGTGCGGGCACTGCAAGGCCATGGCCGCGGACTGGGCAAAGGTGGAGGCCGACTTTGCCGGCCACGAGGTCGCCCTGGTGGGAAGCGTCGACTGTACCGACGACAAGAACGACCAGATCTGCGAGGCCTACAACATCGAGGTGCGTGAGAACAAGAAACAAACAAACGAACAAACAAACAATCCATTAAAAAAACCCCGTGGTGTCGTTGCCTCCTTTCGGTTGCTCGGGGCGGTGTGACCGAACGGTCGATCGATCGACGAATCGCAGCCGACCCTTTCGATAGTGCTTTGTGGGCCCCCAAGATGTCGGTTCGGTTTTCGCGTTGTGTGGTCTTGGCACTGCAATCTGACACCCGCTTCTTTTGTTTGTCGACGTTTTTTGTTTCGTGATGTGCCTTGCCGACGCTGCCCTTTGATGTTCGGGCGTTGAATCCTGTTTGCGATCCAATCCAATCCAATCCAATCCAATCCAATTTAACCCACAGGGCTTCCCAACCTTGAAATGGGGAGACGTCAACTCCCTCAAGGAGTACCCGGGCATGCGCAGCTACGACGACCTCAAGGAGTTTGCCACAAAGTACGTCACCAAACCCGTCTGCAGTGTCCACAAGCTGGAGGCCTGCACGGATGAGGAAAAGGCCGTCATTGAGGCCGTCGACGGCAAATCGGACGAGGAGCTCGAGACGCTCGCCAAGGACATTGCCGAGCAGGCCTTTGAGGCGGAGCAGAAATTCGACGCCGAAGTCGAGAAAATCGAGAAACAATTCGACGCCCTGCAGAAGGAATTCGAAAACACCGTCGAGAAAATCAAGGCGAAGACCAACTTCAACATCGTCGAGATGATCATGAACAAGAGAGGTCTCAGGGTTCCCAGACCGGAAGATTTCGATCCCAGATTCGACATGGAAGACGACGATGACGACGACGATCTGAAGGGCGAACTCTAAACACAACAACAACAGCAGCAACAGCAACAAAAACAACAACACTTACAATGTTCTAGAGATTGATTGGAGTTCAAAGTTGTGACACGAGTTTTCTGATGCATTCGGCCGCTCAAAACTCATGTTCCGGTAATTAGAAAAAAATTTAAAAAAAAAATATAAAAAAAAATATATATATATATATGTCTGCCGAATGCATTCGTAGAATCCATGTCTTTTGTTCTTTTTTGCGTCAACGAAAGCAGTCGAACTTTTGCACGTCCATCGAATTGGCTACGGATCGAAGAGCATTCGGTGTTGCTTCTTGAAGGGCTTGGTGTCGGAGTTGCGCCCCGGTCGCCGAAACTTCTGTGTGATATCCCTTGACCTGTTAGAAAAACCAAGCCAAGCGAGACTTGTTCCCGTCCTTGCCGCTCCGAACCGCGTCCTTCGGTCTGTCCTACCGAAGGGCACCCGAAGCGGCAGCATCGTAACGGAGTGCTTTTCGTAGAATTCCGTGTCGACAGTATATTTATATAGATAGTATACAAAGTGTAGCATCCATCTATTGCAAGGGCAAATGGTGCGTACTTTCTTCAGGAAAAAAGGTGAACGACGAATGCATCCAAAGAAACTATCCTACCTGCGTTTGCTCCTTCCAAATCTTTGCAGGAGCTATGGTATCGAACTCGATAGACACTCACCGTTATATTCGAAGAAGATCGATTATAGTGGGATCGCCTAACAATCTAGTTTGAAGCGGCAACGCAAATTTGAAAACGGATGCAAGGAAGCTTGTGATGATTTCAAATCTTCATWYAATGCAACTCCACAAAARAAGMAAATGAATATGTTGTAAAAACAAGTAAATTGAAGTTTACGTATGGCATCAATATTAATATTGTTATCATCGTCGTCACTTTTTCTTGTATTATCACATTGATAATAATAACAGGGTTGCTCGCCGGGTCTGACTTTTCGACCCGTGCTTGGAAAAAAATGTAAGTCCAACAGGCCATAGCAATCTCTCGAGAAAGCTACTACTGKAGTTCGCATAGAATTCTTGCTTCTAGCTGTACATGTATGCATGCATGTTGTTTCGCCGAATTTATTTCTTGGCAACAAGGGTATCAATGATGGAGTACAACAAGACTCCTCCAATTCCGATGGAGCATCCAAGCAACTTGATGGGGTCGAGGGATTCTCCGAGGACAAGAGCAACACCAACGATAACAATGACACGCTTGGCGGTGTTGGCAACGGATTGCGTGACGGCACCGGTCTTCTTCAGGGTCAGGGTGGCACACTCGTTGTATCCGTAGAACCAAAGACCGGAGGCAACCAAGTTCTTCCAGATGGCGGGGGTGGTCTTGGCGGCCTCAATGAAGTCACCGAATCGGGATCCTTCCTTGATGGCAACAATAGGGAGGGACAAAATGAATGCCAGGATGCTGGTGATGGCAAACTGGTTTCCGACGGATCCCAATCGGTCCTTCAATCCATCGGTTTCCATGAGCTTCTTGTTTTCGTTACCCTTGACGGCAGCGAACATGTTTGCAATGCAGGCTGCGATGAGGGCGGACCAGGCAAAATCAAGCTCCTTTACGGAAGCCAAGATAACTCCTCCAATAACAATAGGGAGACACAACCACTTGGCCTTGGAAATGGGCTTTCCGTAAACATATTGGGAAAGGACGGCGGAAAATGCGGGTTCGGACGCCTTGACGATTTGGGCAAAGGAGACGGCTCCCATTCCCATGGCAAATACGGAGGCAGAGTGGGCTCCCATGAAGCAGAAGGAGACGGGGATCATCTTAATCAAATCCTGCATGTTCACGGTAGGCTTGGTACGGGCATCTGGGGCGAGCCAGAGGAAGATTCCGTAAAGAGCACCTACTCCGAGCTGAAGAGACGAAATTGACATGGGAAATCCAGTCTTTCCTCCAGCAGCGTTCAATGCAAGCTTATTGGTGATGTTGTAGTAGTAGTTACCGAGGTACCACAGGGCGAAGTAAGCAATGAGACCAAAATCAGGACCAGACTTGGCAGGAGCGGCATCGGAGGCTCCTCCTCGAACTGCGATAGCGTCGGAGACATCCTTCAAGGCCTAACATCGGATTGTTTTTGGAAGCATAGATAAAAGGTTTTTCCATCGACCAATTGATTATCCACCCAGATTCATCAACAGCAACGCAAACAACAGAAAGGTGAGAGGGAATCAATGGTAAAATCGATTGGCATGGCGATGAGCAGGAGAAGATATTCTCAACCGCGTGACATGGATTACGTAGCACGCGAGACGCGAACACAAAAGGACTGATAAAGTCCCGATTCCGTGGTGACCTATCTCTAGACAAAACGAAGGCATAGAATCTTGAATCGGAAGGAATCTTCAAATTTGGGTTACATCCAAAATCATGCACTGCGATCGAGGTTTTTGCGGGGCACCTAGTATAAGGGCGATCCGATAGTCACATCCTGGGGAAGATTTTCTCTCATGACGTATGAGATCATCCTCGTTGAAGATGAAATCTACCTTGCAGCTTTTGCACTGCATTCTGTCTTTACACGACAAGCGGGTTGACCACGGAAGCCGACAAGACAAATCCAACACTAACATCGAAATACATATCATGGAGAAACTTACGACGTTGGAGAGGCGGTTTCCCTGGACGTCGACGGGTTGGACCATCGCGGGCTTCTGGAAGGCACTGACGGATCGGGTGGCCGTCTTGGCCAGTGTCTTGGGTCCTCCATTCAAACCGAATGCCGAGGAGGAAGTGGCGAAAATAGTTAGTAGTGCGAGAGCGGTGATCTTCATTGTTGTCGAACGCTTTTTATTTGAAAATATGAGAACTGGCGAGCAAGATATTATTTTGAAACTGAATGAAAACAGATGACCGATTAGTTGATCGGAGGTTGTCAACCTCCCAAAGATTTTAGGATTTGATTGGATTTGAGGAGGTCCAGAGTCGAGTGTCACCAACGGTTGCAATGCTGGGCTGGACGACCCCGCTCGCGACAGCGATCTTGAAATATCAGTACGACGCGAAGAGAAACGCTTTTTCATCAGCGAACCATTKTATTTAGCGAAAACCCTTTCTTCTCGAATGACGTAAGCCAAAAAATTCAGTCACGCGCGATGAATATTGTAAAGTACATATGTATGATATATATTTAAGATATGAATCCTACATCATGACCTTCATAGATTCCATCCCAAGGGAGGAGTTCCTCTTTCAGAGAACAGAGAATCGAAKCAAAATCGATCCGTTGTAGAAAGGTGGGAAGCCAAGTTTTTGTTGATGGAACATGAAGGAAAGATACCAAATCTACCGGTAGCTACATGTCGTACCGTACGACTAGTGTTTCCCACGGATTCCCAGCAGACCTCTGGCGCCCCTGTRAAATTCCAGCGGATGATCGTTTTGGGGTTCTGATTWGGCTATCATGATCCTTGTTCTTTCGTAAATATTGTAGAGAGGAACACATTACCCGTATTAGAAAAAGACCATTCGCGKGTTATAACCTGGTCTAACATCTCAACCTAATACAACGGAACAAAAACCAAACCGATTATTTTCTAAGATGGCATTGACTCTGTTGAACCACTTTTACTGGCAGATCCCGGTATGTTTCCTCGGTTTGTATTTGTTGCGGAATAATATTTGGGAGCATTCGCTATTACTGTTCGATCGACCGGATTTGGTTTGCCGTGTTGTTCGTTGCTGACCCACGTAAAATGATTTGCGGACGAAGGATGCACTCCTGTTTTCGGTTTTCTAACAAAATATTTAACAACACCGTGCACCAACGATGCTTCTCAGGAGGCCAAGGTCCCTTTTATGATTGCCGACGTTGTTATTGTCGTGGCCATGCGGTACGTCGACAAGGCCCTGACAGCAGAGAGAGAGCTCCAAGAAATCCAGCAACAGCAAGCCCAGAAAACCCAAAAGATGAACAAGGAAGAAAAACTTGCCCAAAAACAGGAGGCGCGGCACCAGCAGCACAAGATGGCGCACACRTCCAAGCACGGAGGAGGAAACGGAGGCGCGGGGAAAAAGCAAAACTTCAACATCAAGAGCGATTAGTACTGTATGTGTATTGTATGTCGCGGTAATTGTCGAGTGATCTTTCGAAGGTTTCTAGAGTACAACCAATTTATTGCATCCAAAACGTGATTCGCAAATGAGAGTCGCTTTTTTTTGGATATACGTTACTCGAAAACACGAACTTGAATTCATCCCACCCTCTCTCTGCAGACTCTCTGCAGTGCTTTTCTCCTATACCATGGTTTGCTGTTTCTCRAAGCTCATTTTCCAATCTATAGTAATGAATAGATTCTATTTTTCATGAAATGCTTCGTTCACATTATGTWTAGGCAATATCAACAACGTCACTATCACACACCTGTGCCATCGTTCGTGTGATACATTTTACAGCTTCCTTGAAGTGTGAAGTGCAASGCTAACGCAGTCATTTCGTTTCAACTTAGGAACCCGTTTGGTGATCCACTTGGAAGTGAGGAATAGATTTCYGGTCCTAGCAATCCCATCCGATGGGGCCAGCTGATTTTTTCGATCACATATATGTGGAGCTATACTATTCCTATAATTTCTGTTTCCAGAATTTTAATCTAATCTTAGTTGGTTTTGAATCAAAATTMAATGTTCATGCCAACAAATTAATTCCTCAGAGGCAATTTCTTAGCGAATGTGATGATCATGCTACTATGATTCAAAGTTATTCCTTTACGAGCACATTTCGTATGTCTTTAGGTAGTGTGTTGAAAATGTTGTTACAAGGTTTCTTTTTACGGATGGTAAATGGTTTCAGAATCGTTCCTTTTACGGTCTGTGTCATCTTTTTTGTTCCATTCTGCTCTCGGCATAGTCTGCCTTCGTTCGGTGTGATTATWTGCTCGTTAACTGATCGAGTAATTGTGGCAGTTCTCAGATTCAAAGCATCCGCCAACAAACTCGAACCCAAACGGGTAGTAATAGTGCGTGTCATTCTCCTCCTCTTTTGACATCATAAGCCCTTTCTTATAGTAATAGGAAGATGCATAGCACGTGTTYGACGTGTACACCTTGCTTGGATGGACGACAGATCCATCCATGCACCCGCTGGAACACTTCGGATCGTAGCAAAAGACGGCTTCCAAGACAATAGTGGCATCTGTATTTGTTTCGAACTCTACAGTATTCCGTGTTGTTGCTGAAAATGTTGAGGTAGCTTGCTGTTGCTGGCAACCAGCCCGGTAGTATCCCAGAAAATCGTTGTAGCGACACGTCCCATCGGCCACCAAATAGTCATGTTGATAGCCTTGGATGATGCTTCCGCCATTTCCTGTCTCGTCACCCTGTGATGACGAACCGGTGCAACCAGTGCCAGTTAGCACCCTCCACAAGCAATCCTTCTTGGGCGGCCGTRGCTGCTGGGTTTCGTCCTCGTTTTGGTCCTCGTTTCGGTCATCGTCATTGTTATCGTTATGGTCATCGTCATCGTCATCTACTCCATCTGCATCATTGTTATCATCTATGTTTTCTTCGTCCYCCATTATCTCGTAACTGTTATCTTCTTCTTGTTGAGTCGGAATTGCCTCGTCATCYTKTTCATCATCCTCCAACATACCWATTGTTTCGTTTGCAAAGAGATCGTCTGTGGCCTCGGTGTTGTTTGTAGGAAAAATCGGTATGACATCGTAGAAAACWTCGTCATCATCTTTCGTGGTTGTWGTTGTTGTTTCGTTACCCGTTGTCTGCTTATCAACGACAACCAACGTCGCGCCGATAGTAATGTTTTGGTGATGACTGTTGTCCTCTCTGTGTTTTCGTTCGTGTTCTTGGTCGCTTGTGCTCACGAAAGAGTCGTCGTCGTCTCTGGGTGTTTCGTTCCGCCAGAGCATTCTCGTTTGTGTTTGCAACTCGGGAATTTCCATGTGAGTGGAGAGATCATTTCTTGTGGATTTACCTTTTCGTTCAGCTCTCGAACCGTCGCCGGCGACGCCACGGAGAAGTGGTCGATTAGTGGTTGTCGTCACCATTCYTGGCGAAATTTCAGGTGGATAAGTTTTTGCGTCGCATGGATGGTGTGAGAAATTGCAGGAACAAAGTGCGAGCATGGTTGCGACGGTCCAAAGGATTTCTGACCGTAGCAAAACACAAGCCCTGCTGCTGCTGATAGGTTTTGAAACCACAAAGTCGGTTCGGTGGCGACGACGATGATCACMACGATTTTTCTTCATGGCTGGGTTCCACTGTGCCGCAGCTCTTGTATTTTGTTGCTTATTTTGGTTTTCTTGCATTTTCCCAATCAGACTCACTCGTMTTATGGCACCTTGGATGAGACTAATCGACAGTAACAACAAGGGAAAAATGCTATCAGTTTWAGTTCGTATTTSTTGAGGTAGGAGAACAAGGRTCGCCTCTCGTCGAAGGCACGTACCCTTATCCAATTCGATTGTTGTCTTTCGATATRACTTRGAATTTGGGAAAGAAAAGAACGCCTTCRTGGCGGAAGTTTCTTGACATCTTTTTTTCGAAGGGCGATAACCCTCAAGATCGATACTGGGCGCTGTAAACCAAAAATCATTTTTGTGTGAATCGTGGAGAACCTAAGCCTTGGCACCATACAGTCCGGTACATCCGAGTCCGCTAAGATGAAGACTTCGTTCTCGGGTCATGGTTTCCAATTTTGATCGCGGATGCTATAGATTCGGAAGAAAGAACTCCTCAGTGTTTCCATTCCCCTTGTTTTACTCGTTTAGAAAGGACCATGCCGCTCGTAAAATCCGTTCCTATGCTTTCGAATGTTGTTTGAAAAATAAAGTACTGTACGGTATTGAAGTTGTCAAAATGGGGTGCTTGCATTGGATCCCCCTTTTCCTTGTTTGATACTCGTGAGTGAAATTTAACCAATTTAACCAACTCGTGGAATTTTTTTTCCTTCGAAAAATACATCAGGAGAGGGGAATCATCGTATGTATCGGCATGTAGGTACCATTACGTACGTTCCTACTTGGTACAATTCGTATTCGCATTTTGGAAATCTTTCTCCGATCGGGTTTAGTACCGTAGGTCCTGCGTGTTGTGCTTACTGCTATGTTTCCTACGTGACAAAATCTTTCACAATAATATTGCGCCGTGGGAAGTAAAGGAAGCCACCCAAATTGCCACTGATCTCCAAGAAAGAATTTGATGGAGATTGAAAAGAGACGTGCATCTATCTTCCTGTGTCAGTGAACTGAAAATATCCACCGTAGTGGAAACCAGCGACAGTCTACTAGAATCTTCATCATCGAAAGCTGCTTTGATAATGATGGGCCCAAATAATAAAATTGCCAMAGGCGTTGATTCGAAAGCGGTTGATCGCTCTTTCATTTCCAAGCCTGCGAGCCTTCTACCACTGTCACTGCTTTTGATTGTAGCAGTAGCTGTATTGGTTGATATTTATTGGTATTGCGACTGGGCGCTTCCCTTGCCCTTGTTCTCGATCCCATATTCTATGACCTTGCTTCGATTCAAAACTCTCAACCGCACTAAAAATTTGAATCTAACGACAGACTGGAGGGAACCCATTCTTTCATTGGAGAATAGTGTCACTGCCACCAGCAAGAACACGGCGTCAGAATCGGCGCAAGCGGTTGTTTCAATACCACCGGAATACGAACCGCGCTGCAGCAGCAAGCACGAAGATTTCAACGATTACGAAGCCCCAGAACCCTTTGAATACTTACACGATTGCTGCGACGATTGCAATTTGCCCGTAGATGAATCTCCCGATCCACTGGTCTCCGTGACTTGGAATGCGAAAAAGCTCGACTCCCTCGACAAAAGCGGCACCAAGAAACGATTCTACGAGAAAAATGAAAACGAGGACTTTGTCGGAATTCCATTGCAGATATACAGAACAAGAATACCTGTCAATCAATGGACAATTCCTTCGGAAGGATGTTTGATGGCAGAGAACGACGACCCAGAAAATTTGGGGGAATTAGAACAAGACACAACCGACCAGCAGSAGTTGCCTTCGAAAGTGGCGACCCTCCAAAGGATGAAAATCATTTCGAACTGCACGATCGTAATGGATTGGGGGAGCGAGCGCGCCGCCTGGTTCGAAGTCTTGAGCCACGAGGATCTCACAAAAGACAATCCAAGCGTCAAGGTCACGGCATCAATATCGGAATACAACAGCCCGTATCCCGGAAAGACGCGGGAGCTGACCAAGTACGGGAACCATACCTACAGACTCGAAACGAATGAGGAGCTGTACGAGGGGGTCCGATTTACCTTTCTGCACGTGGAATTTTTCGCTGGACCGGAGGATCATAGTGGCATTGGAAGAGAGCTCGCTRTTGACATTGASGACTTTTCGATTGTTTCGAAAATCAAGCCCATTGGGTACACAGGTAGCTTCAAATCGTCGAATCCTGTCCTTACAAAGGCCTATTATTGGGGTGCGTACGGAGCTCGGCTGAACGTTGAGCAGAGCCAGATCAACTCGATTTTGATCGAGCGGGGTGATCGCGTTGCCATCCAGGGAGACGGCCATCCAACCATTGCCGCTCTGCTAGAGGTATTTTATGGTGACGAAACAAAACAGCTCCTTCGGAACGTCTTGAATGCCACGGACAACGCACACAAGCGCGTCGTGGACGACTCTATCATGGCGTACCCGTTGTATTGGTGTCTGAGTGCTATGGATTACTATTGGGCGACGCATACAGGCAACGAAGAAGACAATCTTGTGCGGTTTCTCGTCAATGATATTTCCCTGTTGCTGGAMAAGCGAATCGACGATTTTTTGGACCCGAACCTCGACATCACGTGGTTTGGTTGGGACGATCGGGTCGGGAACGGTTGGTGTTTTCACGCGAACAATGATGCGTGCACGAGGGAAGGCCTGTTGTCTTTCGCTGGATTGGTSGTGCGAGTCTGCAACGATTTTGTCCACTTCCTTTTGAGCTTGGATCCCAAGGATGCCCAGATTTCGACGATGATACAAAGGTATCAGAAGGAGTCGAAGCGCATGACCGATGCCCTGCGCAGGGTTCCAGAATATCCCTCGGGATTCGGTGTTCATTCCGCTGCCAATGCCATCAACGCGCGCGTTGCAACACCGGAAGAAATCCAGCAACACTGGATGGGAACCACCGAAAATGCCAACACGCTCAACAACGCCGTCACGGTGTGTTCTTTTTCCCAGTTCAATCAATACTGGATTTTGCAGGCCTTTGGAAACACAAGGGGTGGAATGGAGCACGCCCTGAAATCGATCGAGTTGTGCTGGGGACCCATGATGGAACTGAGCACGGGAGGCTGCTTCTGGGAATTGAGTTCTCCGGAATGGACGAGATTCATGAAGGAGGGCGACCARGCCCCGCACCTGCCGAGCTATTGCCATCCCTGGGCATCGGGGGTCACGCCGTGGTTGTCCAGGGTGCTGGGCGGACTGGTGGCGCTGAAACCGGGATACAAAGAATTTGTCGCCATGCCCTACGTCTCCGAGAGCCATCCAAACGTGACGGCCACCACCGACACCCCGCACGGCCCGATCTCGGTCGCTGCTCGTCTCACGCCCCAAGGTGTGCTTCCGGGCGCCGCGCGTTCGGCGGAAGCACCTCCGCAAACGTTGTTCGAGGCRAGCATTCGTTCGGGAGTGCTTGGGGTGCTCGGCATCCGCAARAGCCTTTCGCAAGGCGCCGGTGCCGATCCCGTTGTGCTGTTGGAAGATTCGATCCTGGTCCACGGACGTCCCTTGGCGGCCGGTGCCTTGCTCGATGCCKACCAAGCCGCAAGGATTCTGGGGCACGTTGCCGGGCAGMRGGTGGAAGACCACGTCTTTGTTCGCCTAGAGCGGCAGGCTTCCGAACGAAAGAACGGCCCCTTTGTCGTAACGGCCGCGTATGGCCACCCCTATGAACCGCAAMACCAAAACCTCCGGTCGGCCTCCGGTTCCTTCGCCGAAACGAYAGACWMCCGYCGGGGMCYCGGGTCCGTTCCAYCGACCGGGAGCTACGCCCCGTTCCCGCCGCCGGAATATCCCGCTTCCGTCGCCACCCCGCTCGACCGCACCAGCAAGGGAGACGGCCTGCTCGTCTACGGGAGGGACGGCTACGTCCTGCTCGGGTGCAACGCCACGAGCCTCCCGCCGTACGCCAAGACCCCACCAAGGGTGGTCCGRCACGGCTTTCCCGGCTGGGTCGTTCCCGACCAGTCGCTCATCGGGCGGTCCGACACCGATCCCTTGTACCTCCCGCTGCCGGGAGGCGGKCGGGTCCTGGGAACCCTCGGCCTCGACGACGCCGGCGGCGGGGACATCGACTGCGTCCTCTTGGACGTGGAGGTTTCTCCGGGAGAAACAACCGAACCTSGTGCCCCCGGCAACCRCATCTATTCGCTGTCGCTCTATTTCGTGGCGGCCCGGAGGGAGAACCGCCACGCGATCCGCGTCATGGACCTGGAGACCCTGGACGTGGTGGCCCCCACCACGCTGGTGGAGGACTATTGCGGCGGGGTCTGGTGGACCCTCCGGTACGACCGGTCGGTCCGCATCAAGATGATGGACATCGAGGGGATCCACCTGTCGGCGATTGCCTTTGCCAGCGACAGCGTCGGCGACGGCGTTGGCGTTGGCGTTGGCGTTGGCGGCCCTTCGCCACCATCCTCGTCGTCGTCTTCTTCTTCTCGTCGGGGGGGTGTTGGATCGGAGCAGAGCGCATTGGTTTGAAAGGAAGAAACGGGGGAGGGATAGAGTAGTTGCAAACGGGCTTCTGGTACTAATATTAGTAGTAGCTATTGTTTTGTTTTTCACCTCTGCATTCGCTCACTAAATGTTTCCTATTGGCACTAGTATAGTAGTAGCTCGTTGGGATTGGTACGGTGTTGGCTGGTAAAGTACGAAGTAGCTGGTTTCATGAAATTGCCAATCTACCAATTGTATAGTGTGATTCTTCTATTGCTCCAAAAAGCTCAACTCCTCTTCCTATTGTTGTAGAAACACGGTGTGACTACTTGTTGCAAAAAGTACCGTAATGGATACTACTAGTAACTAGTTGTAAGATGGACACGGGCATCCTCATTTATTCTCCTACTGAATCTTTTTTGCTTCCATCGATTCGACTAGTGTATCAAGTCGATTCGTTCGACTCGATGGTTCCGAGAGAACAATCCAATCACCGCCCAACGCCAATCGTGACAGGATCTGTCATTCCAACCCCAACCCGCTTTCCCGTTTTCGAAACAATCGATCCGTTGCGTAGACAGTGTGCACCGTGTCTTGTGCCCCTGCCTCTCCGTACGTACCAGACATCGTACAAGCATACATACAGCCGGTTCGTACTCGCACTCGTAGTCGTAGTGTTCTACGAGTACGAGTGCCGTACGCTACTCGTACGCAGACTACTGTAAGGCTTCCACGAAATCTTGTTTCCTCGGTGGCTAACAAGCTGGTGTCTCCCACCGTTTTCAAAAGGAACAAATTGCCCTGCTGCGGCACACCGTGTTTGTTTTGGCAGGAGATGACAGTCACAACCCCGGCGTGCTGCTTCGCCGAGGGAACAGATCCCTCCACAATACGGACGCTGGTCGTCGTCCCCGACCCAAGCCATCCAAGCAGCAGCAGCAGCACTACAGCCGGTGGCAGCACGAAACCGGAACCAGAACCATGACCAAACGGTACGACAAGAGATCTCGATCGTGAACGCTGTATTCTTCTCTGCCTTTGCCGTTGCCGTTGCCGTTGTCGTTGCCGCTGTCTTCTTGTTTGCGTTCGAGCTCGTGTTGCGCAGTGCGATAGCCGCGAAGCACATTGCTCCGGTGTAGGGCACACCGACGCAACGCAGCGGAAGGCAACCCAAAGAGTCGAGTCCCGCGAGGCAGAAGGCTTGMGCCRTGGCCAACAAAAACAAACCCACCGGATCCGTTGCTTGGATGGGGATCTGCCGGRCCATCGCGGTCGCCGTTGCAGTGGCGTTGGCGTGGATAGTTCTTGGTTTGTTGCCCACCGATTCCACCACCGGATTCGAAAACAAACCCCACACCGGTTTCGAGAGRYCCGCGGGGCCAACCAAGACCGKTCTCCATCCCGAGACCCCCGGGGCTCCGAGGACAAGCGGCAGAAAGAAGAAAAACAAGCCGCCCAACATCGTGGTGGTGCTCACGGACGACCTCGACTGGACCCTGGGGGGAGCGACTGCTTCCACCCTCAAAAAGACCCGGCGGTTGCTGGGAGGCGGGGACGGAAATGCCAGTGGCAACGGCAGTGGCAACRGCA